CACGCAACACGCAACACGCAGCATACCGAACGAAGCTCTGCCACAGAGGATTGGTGCGCACGAGTTGGCGGCGTAGAGCGGAGGCCTGGTCTCGGTTGTAGCAATAGGGGTAGTAGATGCGCATCATGGGGAACTAGTGCATCAGCGCGGGCCGCGAGATGTTAGTTCGACGCTCGTCCTGATCCGTACAACACAACCACGAGGGATCGAATCGAGTCGCACCGTTTCGATGAGAATGTCAGAAATGATGGGATCCGAGTGACCCTCGTCAGTTTCCTTGTCCTGCCAGCTGCGCGCGCGCTGCTCCAGCTTTTCCAGGAAGGCCTTGCTGAGCGTCCAAATGTCCTCAATGTTGGAGAACATGGTGTTGATCTCCTCCCACGTCACTATGCCATGCTCACGTGCGTTCAACGGCTCGAGGTAGACCTGGAGATCATCATACAGGCAAACAAGTTAGGCACGGACACGACGACGCATGCGCATAGACGCACTACATCACACGATAAGCAGATGCGCAAGACGACCGGACGAGGCGTGCCTTGATCAAGGTCTTCAGCGCGCTCGCATAGCGACGCTCGGTGGCGAGCAGCTCATTGATCACTTGCAGCCGCTTTTTGCACAGATATTGTTGCCGCGCCTAGTACGCGTACCCGCCAAGACGAGGTGCGAGAGTGATCGATCAGATGTAAGTGTGCACAACATGCATCCGCAGGTAACAAAAAAAAAACTGTCACAGCGTACCACCTCGTTGTTATTCGCGGTTGACCGATCCCTTTCGGCAACGCTTGCTATGTCACCTGGCAAAGGCGAGCAGTTAGTTTTTCTTCAGTGTGAGTAAGCGGTGTGAGATTGAACTGTGAACATGGCACAAAGGTGTGCATATTTACCTGAGTTCATGTTGTTGCCTTCATTGTTGCCCTCGGACGTCAGAAGCGGCGACGCGACGAAAAAGGGGCCGGCTTCCTCTTGCTGGAAACAGTCGAGCGCCTCCTCCTCCCCGGATTCGATGAAGGCTTCGGGCATCTCATCGGCGAGGCTCTCCTCGTCGAGGTCCGCCCAATTATTGCCTTGGCCAGCCGACGGCGCGACTCCGGCTCCTCTCGCGGAACGAGGCGAGGGAACTGCGCTACCGCGCGTGGAGGCGTGTTTCCCCGAAGCACGACTGGTAGACGGACGGTGCGCAGAAAACGGAGAGTCCTTGCCCGTCCGCGGCGTAGCCAGATTCTTGATGTTGTAGACTTCGCTCAGCCGAACTTCGAGTGCGTCCACGACCATGCGAACGGACGGCTTCTTGGCCTCTGCGTTCCCCTTAAGGACGTCGACCTCCTCCGCCGCAGCGCTGTTGGTCGGTTCGAGTTCGCGATAGGTGTTCCTTTCCCTCGCCGTGTGGGGCCGCCTTTCCTCTGATCCCTTCCGAGTCACCGCTTCGGGCGAACTGCTGGTGCTTCCACTGCTGCCGATATTGACCGTGATGGTGGCGCGGTTGTTGCCGCCGTGGCTGCTGTCGTGCGGAAGATTCTTCGGTTCGGGGGCAGAGGAGTCCTTGCGCAACGTTCGGTAGGCGTCGCTGAGGCCGGACCGCATCTGACTGAGCTGCTGTTCGAGCGTCGCGACGCAGTGCGAGAGCCTATCGTTCTCCTGGTTCAGGACGGCGATTGCGCGATTCTTCTCCGCCAACTGCTCAGCCGCGCGGAGCAGCTGGTCGTTCAGGTTGGCGCACTTGTTCTCCTGCTCGGTGAGGAGCGCTTTGAGCTTGGCCGCTTCGTCGTTGAGCGCGAGAACGAAGGGATTCGAGTTGCTCGTGCCGTTGAGGTCTGTTTTGGTACCTCCGTGAGGGTCATAAACAATAAACAGGGGCGGAGGGCGCCTGGCGTGTACCTCCTCTTCTTGCTCCTCCCGCGCCGGAAAACGACGCACTAGAAGCGGACAACAGCACAGGCGTCGTGGTGCTGTCGAGTGTGATCGTCTTCCTTCGCTCCTTCCTGTGCGCCAAGAGCCCGCCAATGAATCAGTTCGCCTTGGAAAAAACTGGGAAGTCACCAGCAGACAAGGAGGCGAGAGGTCGAGTCGGTCAAGGCAGCAACAACGCGTACCGTTTGAACAATCCTCCCTTTTGAGATGACTGCTTGTCGTCGTCATCGGCCGAATCTGCGGTGCCTTTGAGCGGTGCGCCGTTGGCTTCGCTGCGGGCGTCCAAGGACTTGGAGCTCTTCGAGAGGAACGAAAGAGTCCGAGAGCGCCTGTCGTTCTTCTTACTGCTTCTTTTGAGACGCGTCGCTCGGCACCGTCTCGCTTTCGTCTCTCGCCTGCTGCTGCTGCTGCTGCTGCTGCTCTTCCGCATCGGACGCTTCGCTGCTCCCGCGCCGCCGGGGCCAGTCGAGGAACACCGTCGAGGCCGTGCGCGATCGTGCTTTGTCCTTTCCTTTCCGCTGCTTCTCTTTCAGAGTGGTGCCTCCCTCCACCACTTCGGCCGACGTCGCTGGCATACCGCCGCTGTCGCCTCCTACCTTACCACCGTCCCGAGCCGCGAGCTTCTGCCGTAGGAGCAGATTCTCGTGCCGCAGGTGCACCACGAGCGATGCCTCCGCGCTGTCCTCCACCAGCCGCTGCAAGCTCGTCACTTCGTCGGTGGAGGGGTCCGCGGCTGCTGATGCCTCGCCCTTGCCGTCGCGTCGCGTTAGCTGGTCGAGAAGCCGCCGGAGTAGGCCTCGCTGGGCGGCGTCGATATCAAGCAGGGACTCCAGCTGGGTCTGCAGCTCGTCTCTTTCTTCGCGCAGCACTCGCCATCCCTCCTCTTCCTCGTACTCGCTCCCCAGTCCGCTTCCTCCCTCCTCCACCGCCTCGTCCGGGACCCAGGCGCCAACAAACCCCCCAATCGACCTTCGCCAGCCCGGCGCGGCCTTCTGCGGAGTAGTAGTGCTGCCTTTGTTGGACGGCGGCGCTGCTGGAGAAGATGAGGAGGAGGAGGATGAAGGGCTGGGCGCCGAGTAAGAGGCAGGTGAGGGGGTGAGGAAGCTCGATGAGACGGTTGGGGCGGCCTCCTCAGAAGAAGAAGAATAAGAGGAGGAAGGGGGCTGGTCTTTGGCAGTGTTCTTGCGGACGAGGAAAGAGAGCCTGTGCAGGCTCGTTCGCCCCGTTTTCGACATTGTCTCCACAAGAGAGATTTAATCACACGATGATGATGATGATTATTATTATTGGTGCGATTTCACCTCTTGCAATCCATCTCCGACCAAGTCGCCCTCTGCGCAGCTCGGATGGTGACACTCCCCAAAACGAAGGCGCCTCCCCGTGCCCTTATCCATCTTTGGTCGCCAAGATCAGGAAGCCATTAGCACGAGAGAAAAGCTGAGAGAAAAACCCACAGCGGCCTCGAAAAAGGCCACAACACATCAATCACATCAAGGCGCTGTGACACCAAATTGCAGCACGAATGTGGGCCAGCAGTAGCACGGCGAGTGGTTCCTCGGCTTCGGCTGTGCCGCCGGTGGTCGGGCTGACAACGAATGTTGGGGGCAAGCCGGTGACACGGGTATTCGGGCAGCCTCTGGACCCCGAGAGCGGCAACGCTCCTGGCGCCCTCCTCAAGCTCATCCAATACCTCCAGAAACGAGGTGCAGCTTTTCGTCCCCCCCCCCCATCTCCGCTTTTGTACTCTCTGCACATGCTTGCCTCGACTCGTCCAAGCGAGAGATTAATCTCGTGCGAAGCAACTGCTGCTCCCCTCTGCGACACCAGGCAAGAATACGCCGGGTTTGTACCGAAAGCCCGTCGAGGAAATAGCTAAGGAAGTGGATGCTCTGCGCAAGGGCGTCATGCTGGGTAAGTTCCCCTCACCCAGCTTAGAGGAAAGAGCGCTCGTCGTATGTGCACCACACACACGGACACACACACACCAACCGTCTGTGCTTCCGTCTGCAGAGAAAGACCACCTCCAGGTGGCTTCGTACACTAACAGCCCATCCACGGCTGCCGAGGTGATGAGGCAGTTGCTGGCTGCACTGCCAGACCCGCTGCTCACGTGCGATCTCTACGACAGCTTCTTGATTGCGCTTAGTACGGCGGACACCAGCCTTTCTTTCACACATTCCTCGTCCGCACACGCCACAGGGCCAAGCGTGCGCAATGACGTTACTGGTCAGCTGCTAATGCTGCTTCTCCACACACACACACACACACACACACACACACACACACCAGCTTTCACAGAGCTTGAGGATCGGCTAGACTATTGGCGGCTGTTGCTGGCTGCACTCCCTCCCGGTTTCAAGGCCACCACCGAGAAAACGCTCTCGCTACTTCACTTGCTGCACACCCACTCCACCGGGCAGTTTCCTGCCAATGGCAACGTATGTTCATGCTCCCACCTTCACCTCACGCCAGTGCGCACATGTGTGGTGAGACGACTAACAACGCTGCCGCTCGCTGTGGCAACAGTACGCACAAAACCTGGGACCCATTTTCGCACCCGTTTTCCTCCGGCCGCGCGCGTTGGGTCCTCACATGGCCCACGATGCCAAACTAGCAGCAGACGTGACTCAGAATCTCATCGAACACATGCCTTCGCTGTTTGACGTACACGGCCTTCCTCCTATTCGTTATTATGCCCTCTGATGACATGCTCCTGATCTTTGCGTGTGCAGCCCGCCCAAATGTCAACATTCCACAACACCCCGCGCAGGCAGAAGAGCACGCCCGTATTGACACCAATGAAGTTAGCAACACTACCACACAGCCTGTATTCCTCCACACCCTCCGCGGGTCCACTGCACCCGCTCAGTAAACCATCATGACCCCTCTTGCCTCCGCAGTGTTGTGATTGTTGTCGACTAATTGCCCAATATTTAGAAAATGCCAGGTTAATTTGGCTCACAATAATATTTCGCTACGCCGCGGACTGGTTGCTCCAAGCCAAGTGAGTGGGTGTCCTCAATTTCACGAGCACCACAAGTCCCCTTCGGCTGCAGCAACCAAGCAGTGTACCCTTGACTCCTGCGCGAGAAGAAGATTGCCAGCCGCATCTGCCAGTGAAGATCTGACCACGAGGTGATCTCTCCGCTGATCAGTTTCAATTCTCAGTTTTGCCAGCGTTTTGCATAGGCCATCCCTTGCTGCACTACCATCATGGTACCGCTTCTTCATCTTCTTACCTCTCGCTCATTTTTGCCTACGAGATCGTGCGTGCCGGTTAGCAATTATTATTTTTGTGGCATTCATTTTAATGCTCTGCTCCATCAACGCCTCGCTGACGATAGAGACGTTCCTTTCTCTATTTGAACGTACCACCTTTCTAGGCCGCCGGTAAGAAGAAGGCAGAATGGGTGAACGTGATGAAGCAGGAGGGTCTGGACGACATGACCCTCCTCGCTAAAGTCAGCAACGACGAGATTTGCAACAACGTCAAGCTGCGTTACGACAAGGACATCATCTACGTACGTGGCTGCAGTCTGCTCCACATTGCTCTCGCGAGTAGCGCCTTACCCCCCCCCTCTTGCGCTGTGAATCGACAGACCAGCATCGGTTTCGTGTTGATCTCGATGAACCCCTACAAGGATCTGCCCATCTACACGGAAGGCGTGCTCGAGGACTACATTGGCAAGAGGTGCCTCCCCTTTCCTCTCTCTCTCTCTCTCCTCGCCCCACCTGCAGTTTGAAGCCGCTAAACATACGCGGTTCCCCCCCCCAACCCCAACAGTCGTTTGGAGCTGCCGCCCCATATCTTCGCCATCGGCGAAGGTGCCTACCGTTCCATGAAGAACGACAAGGAGAACCAGTGTATCATTATCTCGTACGCGTTTCCTCCTCCCCGGCTTGCGATCGTGCTCGTACGCCACATGGGGGTTTGGGTGTCTTTGACGGCCACGGTTCTCACTCGCTCACGCGCATGCACCAGGGGTGAGTCGGGCGCCGGTAAGACCGAAGCGGCGAAGAAGATCATGATGTACATCTCCCACGCCTCGTCTAGCAAGGGCGACGTAGAGCGCGTGAAGCACATCATCTACGAGACCAACCCCGTGCTCGAGGCCTTCGGTAACGCCAAGACGCTCCGTAACGATAACTCGTCCCGTTTCGTACGCACGCCTCGTCTTTCACTTCAGCCCTTTACCAGATCTCGAGATCATCATTCGATTGTTGGTCCCGACTGCAAGCGCTCAGACTAACTCGCTGCTGCTGGTGTACGCGACTCGACTCGTCTCCCACAGGGTAAGTACTTCGAGATTCAGTTCAACGCTGAGGGCGACCCCATCGGAGGCATCATCTCGAACTGTACGCGCCACCTGCCTCGATACCCTGCCATTTGCTCAGACCCAACATTTGCTACCAATGAAAGAAGCGTGGCGTGTAAGCTCACACACCACTTTACCGTACAGTCTTGTTGGAGAAGTCGCGCGTGGTCGATCAGTCCAAGGGTGAGAGGAACTTCCACATCTTCTACCAGTTCTGCCGTGGAGCCAACGCCCAGCAGAAGAGTACACGTCCCACCTCAAAGAAGAACATAACCCTCATCGAGAGATGCGACTCACGGTCAATATCCCTATTTGGACACATCTGATCAGCGGCGTACGGTCTGCACGAGCCCGAGTCGTTTGCCTACCTGAACAAGGGCGAATGCACATCCGTCAGCACCATCGACGACGTCAAGTGGTGGCAAGAGACCCAGGAGGCTCTCAATGTCATCGGCATCTCGCCGCAGGAGCAGGACTCACTCTTCAAGGTCATCGCCTCCATCCTCTGGCTCGGCAACGTCGATTTCCACGAGCAGGGAGACAAGTCCACCATCCGCGACCAGGACGGTACCGCTCCCCCGACCCGGCTCGCACACTCCATTTTAGCTATTGTGGGAGACCACTTTCAGGGTTACTGATGATCCACTTGTCGTGTCTGTCTCTCCCCCAACAGTGCTCGACTTTGTGGCGTCTCTTCTGGGCATTCCGACCGAGTTCCTGGCCAACGCCCTCACCATCCGACAGATCGAGACCAAGCACGGCGCCAGGGCTGGCACCACCTACGCCCTCAACCTCAACAAGATGCAGGTGTGTAATACGCCGCTCCCGTGCGCCTAGTTGTTCCCTTTTGCCCTTTCCAAATGGCCGTCCGCTCACATGAGTTACAGGCGATCGGTTCGCGCGATGCCTTGGCCAAGGCCATGTACGCTCGCATCTTCGACTGGCTCATTGCCCGCATCAACCAGGCCCTCGTGACCACCCAGAAGGTGACGGCCTCGATTGGTGTGCTCGACATCTACGGTTTTGAGGTCTTCCAGGTACGACTGTCCGACCGACACACGTTGCACTTTTTCCTTTCAACTCGCATGTACTCATGTTCTCCCCTTCACAACACACACAGAAAAACGGCTTCGAGCAGTTCTGCATCAACTACGTGAACGAGCGCCTGCAGCAGATCTTCATCGAGCTCACGCTCAAGCTGGAACAGGAGGAGTACGTCAAGGAGGGCATTCAGTGGACGCCCATCCAGTTCTTCAACAACAAGATCGTGTGCGACCTCATCGAAGCCACTGTACGTTGCGTCCCATCTTCACCTTCATTACGTGGTAGGTGTGACGGTTTCTCCGCGCTAATGCATACGGCCGGCGTATCGGCGATGATGTACAGCGCCCGCCTGGCGTGTTCTGCGTGCTGGACGACGTGTGTAAGACGGTCACCAAGGTGGACCCCGACAACGCGTTCGCCGACCGATTGTCCGCTTGCAATGGCAACGAGCACTTCAAGCACCGCGGCAAGGCCTTCACCATCAAGCACTACGCCGGAGATGTACGCCTACCTGCAACACTACCGCGAAGGCCGCGCCGGCGACACACGCGCGCATGGTAGGCGCTTGATCTCACCAAGTTAACGTGGTTCTCTCTTGCAGGTGACCTACGAAGTCGGAGGCATGCCCGAGAAGAACAAGGACACCCTGTTCAAGGATCTCCTCGAGACCATCAAGCTCGCCGAGAACACCTTCCTCTCGCAGACCCTCTTCCCCGAGGAGGTCGATCGCGACAGCAAGAAGGCGCCCACTACCTTCGGCTACAAGATCAAGAGCCAGGCCAACGATCTCATCGCCACGTTGATGAAGGCGACACCGCACTACGTGCGTTGCATCAAGCCCAACGACGACAAGAAGTCGAACCACTTCGTCAAGGATCGTGTGATGCATCAGATCGTGTATCTGGGTCTCCTCGACAACTTGAAAGTGCGACGTGCCGGTTTCGCCTACCGTGCTCCTTTCCAGAAGTTCATGGACAGGTACGTTGCTCTCCACGTTGGCTGCTTCTTTACTACTTTATATATAAAGACCAACACAGTGTCTCGTGGGTGTTGTTGTTGATCGATCGCGAACAACAACAGGTACTTCCTCATCTCGAAGCAGTGCTCGTACGCCGCGCAGCGCATCTGGAAGGGCGACGACATCAGCGGTTCCAAGGCCATCCTTGCCGATAACTACATCGGCAACGACCAGTACCAGATCGGTAAGACGAAGATCTTCATCCGTCATCCCGAAACGGTACCCTTCTCCCTCCTCGTCACTTCAGGGTGAGGGTCACCCTAGGTTCAACGCTTATTTGTTCCCCTCCCCTGCGGTCCAGCTTTACCACCTGGAGGACCTGCGTGAGAACTATTGGCACAACATGGTGAACCGCATCAAGAACGCCTACTACACCTACAAGAACTTCCACGGCGAGTGCGTGAGCAGGATCAAGCTGGCCTTCAAGGTGTGGAAGGCCTACCGCGAGGAGATGCTGGTGATCATCCAGCGGGCCTACCGCGAGTTCAAGAACCTCTCGCCCTTCTACGACTTCAGGATGGACAACGAGAAGGTCATGCACGGCAACAAGCAGCGCAACCGGCTCTCCATGGCCTCGGTGCGCAAGTTCTACGGTGACTACCTCGACATGCGCAACCAGAGGGCGCTCCTGGACGCCATGGGTCCTGGCGCCGGTAACGAGAAGGTGCCTTACTCTCGCTCCTCACGCACACAAGCTCTCTTGTCCCCCCCCCACACAACACGGCTCACACGCTTTTGTGCGCGCAGGTCATCTTCTCGTTCAAGTGTAAGACGGTGGTTCACCCGGGCTTCCTCGGCTCGCCCAAGCTCTCTCCGCGCTACCTGTGCCTCACCGAGCAGTACCTCTACCTGGTGGCTCTGGTCGTCAAGAAGAAGGTGGCCACCCACGTGCTCGACAAGAAGGTGCCCATCAACTTCATCGAGTCGGTGTCGCTTTCGCCCCTGTACGATAACTACCTCATCATCCACTGCCCGCAAGTACGCTTCTTCCTCTCCTTTCTGCAGCGTCGACGATTGCGATCTTGTATGTGTCTTGCGATGCTTACGCAGCATCCGACTGTCTCTAGGATGCCGATCTTGTGCTCGAGCTGGACTACAAGACCGAGCTGGTGGCTTGGCTGCGGTCGAAGAAGCCCGTCAACGTGCGATTCAGCGCCGAGTACGCCCCCCCCCGTGTTGACCTTCTGTGTTCCCTGCCTCTGTCGCCAGATAGGCTGATGAACGATTGGCGTTGCCCTTCCTGTGTGATAGGATCCTCTACATGAAGAAGAAGGGCAAGGAGCAGAAGCTGCAGTTCACGCAGGACCTCGACCAGTTCAGGGTCAAGCTCAAGGCCGACCCCGCCGCGACCACCTTCTACAAGAAGCACCACGTCTACACCGTCACCGGTCTTCCGCCCAACTCGGGTACGCTTCATCTGGCTCAAAAACTTTCCACCGTCTTGGTCCTTACGCCGCGTGAACTCCTTGTGTGCTATCTACATTGTGCAGTCCCGCGCGAGTTCCTCAAGCAGGCCGGTGTGATCCCGCACCAGCAAACGCCTGCGCCTCAGCCCTCCGCGTCCCAGCGAGGCCGAGGCCCGGCTCCGCCGAGAGGTGGACGAGGAGCCGGCCGAGCCCTTCCCATGGGCGGTACGGCCTTAACCACTTTCTTTTGCCCTTTCCCCTCCCGCAGGGCGCGAACACCACCTAACGACTCTTCTCCTCTCCTTGTTGCGTACTTTGCTTAGGTGGTGACGAGGCTCCCTTGCCTCCCGTCCCCACTGGACCCAGCGGCGGCCCTGGCCCTGCTGGTCCCGGTAGGGGCATGCCCGCTGGCCCCGGCAGAGGCGCTCCCGGTCCTGGCAGGGGCGGTCCCGGTGGTCCGCCCGGCCCGGCTGGCCCCGGCAGAGGCGCACCCGGCCCCGGCAGAGGCGCCAGAGGAGGCCCTGGTGGTACGCCCCACACCCCCGCCCCCATCACCTATGGTTGCCCACCTGCCTTGCTCACCCTCGTTATGTTTGCGGTCCGCAGGCCCTCCGCCCGGTGGTCGTGGTATGCCCCCGCCCGGCGGCAGGGGTGGCCCCGGCGGTCCTGGTCCCGCTGGTCCCGGCGGCCGCGGCATGCCCGCTCCCGGTGGTGGTAGGGGTGGTCCCGGTGGCCCTGGCCCTGCCGGCCGAGGCGGCCCTGGCCCCGCTGGTCGTGGCATGCCCCCCGCTGGCGGCAGAGGAATGCCCCCGCCCGGCGCTGGTCGTGGTATGCCTTTCCCCCCTCGTTAAGCTAGCGACGTCACCTACGTCGTTGGCCAAGGGCTGACCCACCGCGCGTGTGATTTGCTGCTTGTGTCGCTGCTGCAGGAGGACCCGCACCGGCCGCTGCTCAGCCGGCGCTCCCCGCTGTGCCTACCGTGGGTCGCTGTCGGGCACTGTACGATTACGGCGCACAGGAGGCCGACGAGCTGACCCTGCGCGAAGGCGACGTCATCGACGTCATCCAGAAGAGCGGCGAGTGGTGGGAGGGCACCCTCAACGGCAAGACTGGCGTCTTCCCCGCCAACTACGTCGAGGACATCTAAGCGCTGTTCGAAACGCACAGCCACACCCACAGCCACCAGCCCCCAGAACCTTCATCCGCCCCTCCGCTAGCCGTGATCTCTTCGCTTGTTCCTTGTTGCCGGCTAAACAACGAACCCCCCTTGTACCACTTGCTGAGGTCCTTGTCCTTGCCGAGGTAAATATTAATGTTACAACCTCGACGCATCTTCACTGAAGCCTGTGTACCACGTCGACACACGCAGGGCAAAACGCAAGACGACCTCTGCTTTTCCTCAACCCCCCCCCTCAGCAAGGATGATGAAGCAGCAGTGCCAATACGAAAGCAACTTTCCCATCATCACCTTCAATCACCGCCCATTGTCGAAGGACTGCCGCCCCCTCGTTGAAGTCAGCGGGCAGGCGGTGGTGGGCCGTGGCTGGCGCTTCTCGCCCGCCGACGTCCAGCAGCTGCCGGCAGAGCTGGAGACCGGTACCCTCTGGCCGCTAGTATGCGCCGCTGCGAGGAGAGGACCTGGTGGCGTGCCTCAGGGCAAGGCCGGTGACGGCGATGGGTGGGACGCGCTGGCGGCTCTGGACTGGTTCCAGCGGGTGAAGGAGCTCGACCTGCGGCCTTTCCTCGCGGTCTACAACCAATCGCAGCGCGGACTGGCCGTGGTCGAACGGCTCAAGATGGCCAACCTCGGCCCCGAGAGCATCGTCTTGGACGGCCTCAGCCTGCCTGGTATCTGCTCACCCCACGCCACCCCCAAGCTGCCACAAAGCACACAAAACACACAAATACACACACCACCCTGAACGACCGGCTTGGTTGCTCACCTACGGAGATGCGCCCATTTCTCCATCACACCTAGACTCGACCGACACGGAGGACGGCTACTCACTCGCCGGCAGCCGCTACGTGGACACTCTACGCTCGCTCTCGCTTCATAAAGCCAAACTCTCGCATTCCTTCGTTGTCCACGGCCTTGCCGGTACTCCGTGCTACTTGTTGTGCCGCGGCCGCGTTGTGTAAAGCGGCCTGTGTGGTTAATCGCTTCAATTCGTTTTCTCTCTCTCGACTTGTGTTATGTTAGCGCTGACCAACCTGCAAGAGTTGAATCTCTCCGAGACTGGCATTACCGACAAAGAGCTTCTTGCTCTCTCGGGTATCAAAAGATTGCTCACTTGCTCCCTCTTCAGTTCGTCCTAACCCAGTCACACTGCCCCAACCGCAGGACTGACTCGGCTGGAGCGACTGCAGCTGCGCTCATGCAACATCACCGACTGCGGGCTGGCCGCTTTAGCAAGTACGCGTCCTCGACACTTCTTCTCCCGTGGGACTGACTGCCACTTACACTGCGCTAACATGCCTGTGGGGGTGGACCTGTGCATTAGAGATGCCTCTCACGACGCTCGATCTCGAGGGCAATCCGCGCCTCTTCGACTTCTCCCTTTCCGCTTCGTTGCCGCTCAATTTCGGTACGCTCCCTCACCCTCTCCAGGGTAGTGCCACGTGGACGCGATCTCGTCACACACCCAAGATGTTGTTGCATACAGGTGATCGAAGAGTGTTGATGATTGGCCTGGACGGCGCTGGTAAAACGGCGCTTCTCTGTCTCTGGCATCAGCGCGAGAAAGTGAACACTGTCCCCACTATTGGTACGTTATGTGTGGCCCATGTTCGTCCGTTCGTCTCTCGAGTAGTGCGTCTGGTGGCTGCAACTTCCCATCACAGGCTTCAATGTGGAGAAAATCGCGAGTGAGCATGCGTCGCATGTCGTGTGGTACGTTACAAGACTTAGTTACATGTTCTCAGATTGCGAGCCAACAAAAACAACGCATCTTTTCACTGCTTCAGGGATGTGGGCGGTCAGGAGCGCATTCGCCCCTTGTGGAGGTACGACACATGCAGTGGAGACAGCATTGGACGCTTGGCTTCTTACAACAACGTCTTGTGATAGGCACTACTACGACAACACGGACGTACTGATCTGGGTTGTGGACAGTACTCAGAACACCCACACATTCGCGGAATGTACATCCTCTATCCCCCTTTTGCCTGCCTCTCTTCCCAATCAGCATGCTCACAGTGGATTCTCTCTCCTTTCTCCACTTCCAGCGGCCGAAGCCTTTTGAACGTTTTCCAATCTGAGGAAATGCCGAATGGGGTTGCTCTAGTTGTGATAGCCACCTGGCAGGTGCTGATTCCTCACCAGAAACATTCTCTCTGTGTGTTGTTGTTGTTGTTACTTCCCTTGGTAACCTGACCGATGCTGCTGTTGACCACCACTATAGGATGTACCAGGAGCGGCGTCGCCTGCCGAAGTCGAGAAAGCCATGGACATTGAGAAACTGGTACATTGTGCTGCACTTCCATACTGATCTGCTGATGTGATGAGGAACAAGTTGATTCTCCTCACTTCACCTACTAATTGGCCCACCAACAGATGCGCGAGAGCAGGCGCAAGCCGTCCTCATGTGTGGTCATGGGTGCATCGCCCAGCATGGAAGAGACAGAGCTACGGGCACCACTGCGCTACATGGATTCTCTGGCACAAAACGCCATCATCCAATCACAAATCGTCGAGCGTGTGGAGCACCTCCGGCGTACGGGCCTGTCCTCGCTCCTGTTGTGCGTCCCTGCTGCAATGAGCGTACAAATGACACTAATGCGCGTGGGCTGACAGCACTTGCGCCTACCCTCACTTCGTTGAGCCTGGGTAAAACCAATATCACTGGCCAAGGACTTGCCCATCTGACCTGTATGCTCCTCCTCTCATTCAACTACGCACGCACGCACTGGGTCAAATGCTGATGAGTCCCGCTGGTCTGGTGGGCGCTAGACCTTACCAGGCTGGAGCACCTCAAGTTCAGGAATGGCACTATCAACGATCCACTCACTTTCTCAGGTTCGTTTTAATTTTCATTTCATTTTATTTTTTGCCTTACGCCTCGGCTTCCTTCGTCCATGGTCTCTGTGTAGACTGACGGGCGCTTTTCTTCTGAGCGCCTGCAGGGATGCCGTGGTTGAAGAAGCTGAACCTCAGGGGATGCTCGATTCTTGGGCAGGTCATCCCCACACTCGGATGTACGCCTTGCCTCTCCTGATGGTGCAAAGTGGCACCTTTCCTCCATGATTCTGACCACATAGGCATGGGTCAGTCTTGGAGTCTCTCGATCTGCGCCAGATCAATCCGACAGGCTACGCTCCAGACGACCAACCCGCTCTCTTTGCTCGTACGCGTCATCTCCTCGCTCCCAAGTTCTGTTAAACGATGATGAAAGTCAGCTGACATCAGTTGTGAGTTGTGTCGATGCAGCTCTTGCATCTCTACAGGAGTTGATTGTTGAGTGTGGAGATGGAGAAGAGGGCCGTACGTCCACTCCCCCATGCCGCTTCTTGTTCTATTAACTGGATTCCTGACACCCGTGCACACCACTTGCCGCCAACAGTTGGCCTCTTCCCGCCTGGCTTCAACATCAGGAACAAAAAGAAGAAGGAGTCGGACGGAGCTGGGCAACAAGGTGGTACAACCGACCACTCGATAACGTTTTTTTCTTGAGCACCAGAATCCACGATTGGTTTTCTCACCCTGCCCTGATTGTCTTCTCCGGCAGATGCGTCATCAAAACACCGCTCAGTCATGCTGGGTCTTGGCAATTCGGGCAAGACGACGCTTCTCTACCGCGAAAAGGTCAACACCCCCCAACCCCGATTCGTTGTGTGGTGGCACGACTGACCGTAGTAAACCCCATGACAAGAGCAGTTGGGCGAGGTCGTGACCACCATGCCCACGATCGGATTCAATGTCGAGACGTTGTGGTACCCCAGGTACCGTGCTCGCGCAAGGGGCTGGCCTGCAATCTTTGTGTCTACTCACGACTTTTCCAGGTTGGACGCCAACATCACCATGTGGGACGTCGGTGGCCAGCGGAAAGTACACGTTTCCCCCCTGTTTTCGTGGCTGCCGCGCTTCAATAACACGACACACTCCTTACACACGCACCACACACGAAATGGCAGCTTCGATCTCTCTGGCGGCACTATTGGAACGAAGACCAGCAGTCGCTGGTGTGGGTGGTCGACGCAAGCGACCGCGAGCAGCTTCCCGAGTGTACGCTTCTCTGGGATACCTTGCCGGAGATGCGCCTGATCAGTTCACTGCATCATCCCTCCATCTTACCATCACTCTGTGCGTGTGCGATGGTGCGTGTGCGTTCTCCATGAATGCAGCCAAACAGGAGTTGCACCGGGAGCTGGCCAACAATAGGGACGCGTTCTTACTCGTGCTAGCAAACAAGTGCGACCTGCCGAACATAATGCCGCGTACGTGGACCCCCGGTTCATTCATGTATCTGGCCAGCCGCGCGGCGCCATGCACTGACATAGCCGTACGATCAGTCGAGGAGATCTCGCAGGGCTTGGACCTGGCGGGTCTGGGCAATCCCTACATTTTGCACGAGTGCTCGGCGACAACCGGCGTGGGTAAGTCTCTCGCGCTTGGTATCCGCCAGTGACCGCTCCCTGTATTGACCCATTATTATTTTCCAGGGGTGACTGAGGCGTTGCACATGCTGGCGGCGCAGCTTAACAAGATGGCGCCGACTGCGTCGGAAAAAGGCCCCGTTCTGCTCGATTAGCTTGTAATCGGTTTGGCGTAGTTGTACCAAAAAGGCGCTTTTTTTTTACAGAGCCGGTGACCACACGCTGAAGGTCTTGTCGTAGAAGGAGCAGCTGCCGACGAGGCTGCCGCCATTGGCATCGGTGTGGTACGACCAGTCCACCCCGTAGGCCAGCGATTCGTGCCTGCCCGTGTGCTCCGCCACAATCTCGATGTCTGATGCCACGACACACGACACTGACTCAGCTCTATATCCGCTGTTGTGGTTCTCTCGCGAGTGACGTACCGCCTCCCTCCGCCCATCGCATGACGAAGAAGCCGCGGTGCATGGCGGCGATGACGAAGAGACGCGGATCGTGCGGGTGCCATTTTATGCGCCACACGCCACCGCCCTCGGTGCCTCGCTGGGCCACCGGCTGTGCTCGCCCGGTCATCATCCTCTTGTCCCAAATCGACACCATTTCGTCATAGCTGCATGGCACACGGCACGAACGCGGCACACGAACAAGACAACGCGTGTTAAACACGACTATACGACATACGACGGTAGCGACAGGGCACGCGCGCGTGCCTTCCCGTGGCAACAGTGTGTTCAAGATGAGGATGCGATTGCACTGTCGTGACCCCCATGTCGTGCCTGCGCACAGGTGTGGAATGTCGTCAGCAACGCGCCTGCTCTGGAGAGCAATGAGAGTACCGCTTGGTGAAAATGGGTGAGTCGGTGCCGGCCCGCAGATCCCACAGCTTCAACGTGCAGTCGTCGCTCCCTGTTCACTGGTGTCAGCCCAGTCGTACGGGGAGAAGGGCGAGCGGACGTTGGGGGAGGGGGGCGGAAATGTGCCTGAGTAGACGATGTTCGGGTTCCAGTGGTCGTAGGCCGCGATCCAGGCCTCCAGCGAGTGGGCCTGCCACTGCTGGTCGCACACAAGCTCGGCGGGTGTACAGCGCCACACGCACAGATGCCCGCTCGAGTAGCTCGCCACGACGGCCGGATCCACCCTGGTGGTGGCGGTGGTGTGGTTGGCAGTCGGTAAGACGTGTGTGTGACAGGCAGAGGGTGGTCTTCTCCGTACTCAGTCAGCACTTTGTTGTTCCAATCGAGCGAGAGAGCCAACGATTGCGGGCTCTCGTCGAAGGTGGCCGCGGCCGTGCGCTCCAGGCAGCACGCCTCGGACTCGACCAAGTCTGGCTCGTCAGCTGCGCCTGCGAGCCGCCACAGCGATACCTCCACAGCTCGCCACGTCAGAAACCAGCCAATCACGGCCACCATGTTACGCTGGGAGTAGTGGTACCTGGCCCTGGGCCTGTGCCGCGGCGCCCAGTGGGCTACTCCCGCCCAGTGGCGACACACACCTGCGTTGAGGGCGAAGAGTTGGCATCACCCAATGATGACGGTGACGTTGAAAGGTTAGGGGAGAGGCACACCACTTGAAGTCCAGGACACCGTCGATGCCCTCCTGACCTCGCCACAGCCACTCCACCTTCCGCTTCTTGTCCGCTGGCGCTGCGGCATGGTCCGCCCGGCGGATGCGGAAGAGGGCGAGGCTGCCGTGCCGAGTCTGGCCGTCGGGGTGCAGGTCGTATGCGCCCACCACGCCCAACCCCGTGGCACCCAGGGTCGGGCAGAACTCCACCGTGTCCAGCGTTAGCTCCTCCACGGAGTGGCCAACCTCTTCCATTCTTCTCCGCCCTCTGCGAATGCGATATTGATTTTATTTACTTTTTAGTTTATTTTATTATTTAAAAACAGAAATAGGTCGCAAGGCCGTTACTTCACTTGCTAGCGTCGTCTTGGTGATCTTCGCCTTTGGCCTCTTCTTCGTTGGGCATCTGCTTGCGTTCCAGGTGAGCAAAAAGAAACACAAAAAAAAAGATTGAGATTCGAGATTAACCTGATCTGCGAGAACAGCGCTGAGCAAACTTCGAGTGATACGCTTCTGGCGAGAGCGAGCAGCGTGGGCCACAGCCTGCTCGGCCACCCGCTTCACGAAGTCCACGTAGGCCAAGTATATCTAGTAGTGATCGATCAACCGAAATCTTTCAAAAGATCTGAGATGAAGCCCGTTGAGGAGGGAATTATCACGTACAAACAGTTCTACATCAGAAGAAAAATTGTGGGCCGGTTGATGAGTGCGCAGTAGCTTCCTCACCTCCCTTCTAGCCTTGTGCGGCCGACCCATTCCAATTGTTGGGGGTCTTCTTCTTGCGCACGAGATTGCCGCACCATTTTTTCTCTATTTTTTTCTGGCCATTTTCCACCGCTCATCTCCTCTGCTCTGGCAGGACAGGCTCAACATGGAGGAGGACAAGATTGTGCAACTGGGATTCCTTGAGCAAGCCGAGGATCCGGCGCGGCTCAGCGATTTCGAGTACCTCCCGGACAAAGTCGGCGGCAAGCCGGTACGCAAGCGCGCGTTAAATTCAATCTAATCATCGTTCCGATTTTGCTGATGTCCTTGAATTTAGTGTAGCATTCGAATCCGCGCGTGATTAGGACTTATTTTTGATTGCTCCCGGTCTTGCTTTCGTGATTGCCCTTCCCGATGAAGCTTGATCATCACGTGATTGCTAATCTTTTGTTTGATTAGACGTGGCTTGTGCCCCGTGGTGTGCCCACCTCCGCAGATGTGGCCTGCACGCGTTGCGAAAAGCCCATGCCACTCCTAATGCAGGTGCCTTTCTCTCCATACACTTCTGCTGCAAGGACCGGCGCCTAATGGGCGCTTGCGTGCGTTTATAACCTGTTGCAGATCTATGCTCCCTTCAAAGAGTTCGACCACACGTACCATCGGGTGGTGTATATCTTCAGCTGCAAGAACGGTTCGTGTCACGCATCGCTTGCCCATGGAAGGTACGCGGCTACTCTACTGCCTGCACTCAACCACGTGATCATGATGATGCTGATGATGCTGATGATGATGATGCAACATCATTCCACACCCACAGCTTCAAGGTGTTCCGCTGCCAGCTGCCCAAGGACAATCCCTACTACGAGTCCAAGAGTGAAGATGCCATCGAGGAGGATCCTGAAGCCGCGCAGTACATCTACCACATGCCGGAGAAAGGTAACTCGTCGTCAGGCTCCTCTCTCTCCCACTTCTGGTCGACAACACTGACAGAGCTCTCACTTCAATCGTACGTCTGTCCTCTTCACAGTGTTTTTCTGTGCTGAATGCGGCATGAGAGCGGAGAAGAGGTGCAGCGCGTGCAAGATGGTGCACTACTGCACCGTGACCCACCAGAAGGAGCACTGGGGCAGAGGCCACAAGGAGGAGTGCGAGCAGATCAAGGCGGCGGGACAGGCTGGCAAGAAGGCCGCTCCCGCAGTCAAGCCCTCGCTGGCGCTGTTTGATGAGTGGGAGATCATCACTGAGGAAGAGCCATCGGATGACGAGAAGGAAGAGGGCGAGGACTACGAGAAGAAGCTGTCGCGAAAGTACAAGGAGCTCAAGATGCTCCACAAGATGAAGGCCCAGAGCCGACCCAAGCTCGGGCCGGGCGAGCTGCCGGTGGACTTCCCCGTGCCCGAGGAGCCCGATGAGGAGGCGCCGATCGACGACAGCTTCATCGAATTCCAGCACCGAGTCAAGAGGGCGCCCGACCAAGTGCTCAGGTAGTCCTGCACGTGTTTGATTGGATTGCAAGCACACGCAACGCTCACTCATAACGCAACGTCTTGCAGATATTCGCGCTGGGACGGAGCCAAACCGCTCTGGGTGCGCGATTCGTTGCAGCCGACTGCTGACGATGTGCCGCCCTGCCCTCACTGCCAAACCCCGCGCAAGTTTGAGTTTCAGGTATGCACAACACCTTCATCTCACCGCACAGGTGCATAGCACACTCACACCGGCAATACGCCGATGATAGGTCCTCCCGCAACTTCTACACTACCTCGAGGTGGAGAAAGTTGAGAAGGAAGGAATCGACAAGGCCATCAACTGGGGCACCGTGGCCGTTTTCTCGTGCCCCAAGTCGTGCCAGCCCACCCCGACCGGTACTACTTTTGATCATCCACCGCATCGCCATCCACCTCACCATCACCATTCCCCCTCCCCTCCTCGTGGGCAGAAGAAGACTCACCTCGCGTCTTCTGTTTCCAGATGAGCCGAACTCATCCGGCCCCACCTACTTTGAAGAGTGCACATGGCGACAGAACATGGAGTAGTCGCCCTAAGAGCAGACCCCAAACCGCCAGTTTTCTTCGCTGTGGAAAAATGGCGCGAACCAAATAAATAAAGTGCAAAACCAACAATCACGCGATCGTGGAGGATGGGGGATGATTTCGAGCGTGCGGTGCTGGTGAGCCTCAACCCGACGCAGGTGTCTCCGCAGACGCTGCAGGGGGCGCAGGCGCTGCTGGCTCAGTTTAAGGCATCCGGTGATGCCTGGAAGCTGTGCCTTCAGAAGGCCTTTTCCGATTGCCCCATGCAAGTCCGATTTTTCTGCTTCCTCACCCTCGTCGACCTTCTCAATCACAAGTGCGCGTGCTTCCGGCCCACCTTCTTTCATTTACATTTGAGATTTTATTAATTCAATCACTTTTATTGATAAATCCCATAAATCCGCTGCAGGCACGGCGAGCTCTCGGCCGAGAGCCGTGCGGCACTCCGGCAGGGCCTGCTCACGTGGCTCAAGGACCACTTGCCGGCACACCCACAGGAAGACACTTGTACGTTGCCGCATGATAGCACTCGGCATGATACCAAGTGCAATGGCGTTGGCTGGACCGGACCCAGTACTGACTGGCACGCACCTCCACCCGCAGCTGTGAAGAACAAGTTTGTGCAGGCACTGGTGGTGATGTTCAAGCTGGAGTACCCCGAGGAGTGGCCTTCCTTCTTCTCCGACCTCTTCATGCTCCTCAAGTCCACTGGCTGTACGCCGCTCTTCACTCATTTCCACTTATGCACCGCCGCCGCCGCCGCCGCCACCAGCCATGGTATTCTGACGGTCCACTTTGCATGTATGCAGCTACGCCGGCGGGGCTGGTCATGGTGGACATGTTCCTCCGCATCATGGCGTCCATCGACCAGCTGGTCATCAACTCTGATGCCGTCCGCTCGTCCGCTGAGATCGCTCACGCATCTGATATCGTACCTTCATCATCGCTTCTCGCTTCGTATTGCGCTGCTGTCCCTTGTCGCCTGGCTTCTTACGCGTGATCGCCCACATGACGTGTCATGTAAAACACAATGCAGAAAGAGGCGATGAAGGTGCATTGCGTGAACACGTACGTGGAGGTGTGCTACTCCATCATCGTAACGTTTCGCACCTCCTGCCCGCCCATTGCCAAGTCCTGTCTGGACAACCTGCGCGCTTATCTCGGTATGTACCGAGATCGTTTCTGCAAGTGTGCACTGCGCATCGCTCATGACTCCTTCACCACCACCACCGCGCGCGCGCTCGCACACGCACACACGCACACACACACACAGCTTGGATCGAGCTGCCGTTGATTGTGAATAATCGATTCTTGCCCCTCTTCTACGAGCTTCTCTCTTCTGAGGACCTCAGAGAAGAGGTCTGCGAGTGCCTCTACGAGGTACCCTATCAATCGCGCCTTCGCCACAACGGCAAGCAGGAAATTCCTGAATACTAAATCATAAATCAAATTGGTGGTGAACAGATCGTTGTACGCGGCATGGACACGATGCTTAAGCTTGACTTGCTGCACAAGCTCAACCTCTTGCCGATCATCTCGTCCATCAAGACCGAGGTAGAATCCGGGTGTGTGGGTGGTTGGGTCATCTCGTCGTACTGAGTCGCCGTGTCGTTGGTCGTGTCGTGTCAGGACGAAGATTTTCAAGTCAAGCTGGCCAAGCTGGTCAACGCGATTGGCGTCGAGCTCATCTACGGCTGGACTGCGGTACTATGTTTCCTTTCCCCATTTCGCTGATGGATGTGGTCGGTCCTCACGCGCTGCACCCAGATCCAAGTAATGGTGGCGCAGCAGAAGGTCGGACCCGACGTCGAAAGTACGTCCAGCGGTCTTGAGGTTTGTGGTTAACGGACGATGACTCACGTTTGCCTCTGTTGACATGTGTTGCTTTGTGGATTCATTTGCGGCGCAGAACAAAGCAAACAGATGGTCAATGCGGCTCTGGCTCTGATGTGGCAATACCTCAATGCCGAGGATGACCTCGTGTACGTGCTCCGCTTCATTTCCTCGCGGACCTGATTCCCATCGGTCTCACTCGACGACCAAGCGATGGGAAAGCAGCAGCCTGACGTGTGGTTTCCCTGGCCCGGTAGGTCGGAAGAGGTGGTTCCTCTGGCCAAGTGCTTCGTGGAGAAGGTGCAGAAGGACAAGGAGCTCACGGAAGAGGACAAGGAGCACTTGCGGAAGCTCCTCACCATCCTGGCCAACAAGATGAAGTACGACTCCTCGTACGACTTCTCCAAGCCGGACCAGATCGAGCAGGAGTTCCTCCAGTACCGCAAGGTATGAGCGAGTTACATCATCGATCTCAGCCTTAACGTTCCGTACACCTCGCTCCACTGGTTCTCACACGCTTCTTCTGTTTGTGATTCGATGGCTTCAGGAGTTGAGCAACTTGTTCCGGAAGGTGGTCAAGCTGTGCCCGGAGATGTCGGTCATGTTCGTGTCGTCTCTCGTCCGGGCGTGCTTTGCCAACATCTCAGCGATGTCCTTTGCCGATGTCGAGGTGTCGCTCTACCTCCTCGGCCTTCTCAGCGACGCTTCCACCCAAGTCGGTACCGTTTTGCCTCTCAGCTCCTCCGTTGTTTCTTCGAGTCGCACTGAACCTTTCCTGCTCGCGTGTGGTGCGTGCGTGCGTGCGTGCGTGTGTGTGTGTTGTTACAGATTCTCGCTTTTTCTCTGAGATGCTGGTGGCACTTGTTTCCTCAGGTAAGCACAACCTCGCCTGGATAGTATGGAAAGCCCCGACCCAGACCGCCGGAGCTTTAACGCAATCCAATTGAACGCCATATGCAGACGTGTGGCGATACCCGCATCGGGCGGTGGTCCTGACGGCCTTTGAGACCGCCGTCAATTATGCTCGATACCTGCCCAACGATGCTGCCGTAATCTCCAACTTTTTGGGCGCTTTCTTCGGCACGAGGTACTCCATTCATCATTTTCTTGTTGTTGTGCTGGAGCGCACATTCTCTGACCGGTTGTGTGGCTCGTCTCAATAGTGGAATGCGAAGCAGCGATCTCACGGTGCGCAGCCGAGCCGCTTACATGTTCTTCCGCCTCTGCCGAGCCCAGAAGAATCTCCTTCTCCCCTATCTCCCTCAGATCCTCGCTGCGTCTCAGGTACACACAACACACACACACAGAGAGAGAGAGAGAGAGGAGAGAGAGAGAGAGGCTTGAGCTCCTTGTCAGCTTTGATACCCATACGCACAGCATCCTTGCAGGATCAACTTGTGGTGAAGCTGGAGGCCGATAACGTGCTGCCCTACGATAGCCAGCTCTTCTTTTTCAACGGCATCGGGCTGCTGCTATCCGCCACCAAGGACAAGAAACTGCAACAGGACACGCTCAAGGTACTCCTTTCCGCACCGTGCTACAGAGCCGGTCACGAGTTTGCGCTGAAGCGAAGGGGTGATCATGACTCTGCGTGCAGAGCGTGGTGGGAAAATTTCTGGACCAAGTGGAGGAGATATTGGCCAAGGAGATCTACAAGCAGGACACAGTTGAAAGGCCGGTTTGCGCCAATTTTTTGCAGCAGGTCGTGGCGGTGGTCACTGCCCTCAGCAGCGGTACACACACACACACACACACACACAACGCGGTAGTGAGTTGAGACTGAGATGAGTGGTGCGTGTGCGTGTGTGCAGGCTTTGGTTCGCTTGAGGGCCAGTCGGGAATGGAGGAGCTCCTGGCCATGTGGAGCCGAACCTCGCACGTCGCTCTGCGAATCGTGGCAGCCATTCCACAATACCCCGACTTGCGCCTCAAGGTAATGAAGTCCCCGCCGCCGCTTCAGGACCCGCCGATCATACAGCAGCGCCGCTCAATTACGCGCGTGCGCGCTGGTACAATCTGTATACAACAGGTGCTCTCGTTCCTGCACAGAATGGTGGAATCGATCGGCACGCACGTCCTGCCGTATCTACCTCTGGCCTGCCAGGTTTGCCGCCCACCGGGTGCCGCACTTTTCTTGAAGAAGCCGTGTCGCTCACTGCACACACACACACACACACATTGTGGCATTCGGGGACAGGTCTTCATTCCCATATTGAACAGTGGGTCGGTTTACACTTCGACCGATATGACGAAGGAACACCAGGACTTCGTTCGCCTGATCACGCAGGCCATCAACCGCTTCAAGGCACGCACACATAGCACGACAGACAAATGTGGAGGTACCTTCTTCTTACGCGCAACATTTTGTGGACCGACACACAGGACAAGGTGCGGAACATCGTCGAGGACATCGTGGGTCCGGTCATTCAGAGCCAGGTCTGTCCGCTCGTGTCCGCCCTCGCTCAAAAGTTTCAGGCCCAAGCTAGCGATGGTGCGACGCCACACTCTCGATCTCCCATCCATTTGGCTAGGTCTAACATTTTGATTGTTGTTGTTGTAGATGACGAGGTGGAGATTGACGTCGTCAGCGAGGAGGAGCGCGAGTGGACAGACATGATCAAGGGCTACCTGCTGCTCATCCAAAGCGTGCTAGGCCACTCCCTTTCGTCCACACTCATCGCACAGGTACGTCGTAGAACCGCTCCGCTCGCCTTTTTCATTTATTCTTTTTATTATTGTCGTTCTTCTTTCTGTAGCTGGGTGGTGCACCTAACCGTGGGGGGGGACGTTTCGATGAGAAGAAAAACGGACCGTACCTTGAGGCGCTGCTCAAGGCGCTGCTCTTGGCGACGACTGCCAGCGACGACATTTCTGTACGCTCGCTTGCTCGCTTTCTGCTTACAATGTTGGCGGCACTGACCAGATGTCCGCACACAGCTCAAGAAGCAGTGCGTGACCACGTTGCGTATGATGATCGAGGCGTGGGCCGGCAAGATCACTGTTGTTTCGGACCCCAACGAAAGGTAGGGTGTGGCCTGCTTTCGTTTTCCCGTCGGCGATGGCTGGCTAACGTCCAACTTCACCCTTATGTTCTCTTAACAGCGGAGGACAGCAGATGATTGCTTTCCAGCAGGCGTTCAACGTGTTTGTGTTCGAGCACTGCGTGCCGCTTTTCTTCACGCTGCCTCTATCACCCGACTTCAGGCCAGCCGACGCTCAGTGCAGCATGGTGCGGACCATTCTTCATTCCGACGAACACCACACGACACACACGACACATCGACTGATGCATGCAGCTTAGATCCTGGGCGAGATGAGCAAGATGCAGAAGACGCTGGTGGAGCGATGCGGACAGGACGCCCTGCGCCACATCAAGAGCGTGGTGTGCCAAATCCCCAACTGCTCGGCACAGGCCACCGAGGAGTACATGCAACAGCTGCTTCAGCCCCTCAAGCAGTTCGACCCCTTCTACAAGGTCAAACAAAACCACACACCACTTGGCCTTCTCCTTCTTTACTACACCCTCGGTCATTGCGCTGACTCCTCTTCGTGTTGCATGTCGCCCCGAACAGAAATTCGTGCAGGCTGCTCGAACGCAAGCCCTCGCTGGCCCACTGTCCCAGTGACCACCGCCCCGTGTACCAAAAGACAAATAATAAAAAGAACAGTAAGAATAAAATAAAATTTAAAAAAACAAAAAGAGCAAAATGAAATAGCGTTGCATTTGTGGCTGAGCTTTGTAATATTTGGTAAATGAGGACGGACGGAGTTGTGCACGAGGGAAGACAAAAGACAGCCACGACACGAAGAAGGCGGTCACGTGAGTCTTCGCGCTGACGAACCACAGCCGCTCGCCCCTTTTTGTGTGTTTGCTCCGCGCTCGCTCCCTTTCTATTTCGTTTCGCACACCGCCTCGGTTCCTTCTCTGTTCCCTCCTTCACGCCCGTGGGTTTGGTTAGGTCTCCAATCTCTTTCCTTCCAACCAAACATCTCGCTGAGGAAATCGCAATCGGCACAAACATCTTCTTTGTAAGATGGCGACCACTACGAAGACGGGCGAGAAGAGCGGGGCGGTGAAGCGATTCCGCAAGAATGCCTACGCGCCCGTGGCCTCCAAGCTGTGGGCCATCCACGGCCAGTACTACGATCTCGCCAGCTTCATCGATTCCCACCCGGGCGGATCGGAGATGCTGCTCCTCGGCCGAGGGCGCGATTGCACAGAGATGTTCGAATCGGTCCACGCCCTGTCGAAGCGTAACGTGCACGCCCTCCTGGCCAAGTACAAGGTGGAGACGCCCGAGGGAGCGCCCCCGCCCCCCGTCGAGCTCTTCGCCTGGCAGCCGGATGGCTTCTACTCGGTCCTCTCGCAGCGGGTGCGCAAGCATTTCGAGCAGACCGATGGTAACTACAAGGCCACAACGGCCTACTGGTTCAAGGTGACCGCCTTCTTCGTGTCGTGGCTGGCCCTCATCTCCTACGCCTACTCCATCGGCTCTCTCTACGCGGGCCTCCTCGCCGGCTTCGTCATGAACATGATCGGCTTCACAGTCATGCACGACGGCTCGCACTACGGTACCCACTCCCCAGCACACACCTGAACTATTAATATTTTAATTCATTCTTCTACTCGAGCCCAATCGATTTATTACCTCATAATTATTTATTGCTTAGTATTGTTATTATTGCCTATTTCCACGGAATGCGGAATATGACACGTGACACAAGCATGACTCATCTCTTCGTGCGTGTGTGTGGGGTGTGCGCAATGTGTGCTACCCACCACCTGTTTAGGTATTAGCAAGAACCCGTTGGTGAACAGAGTGCTGCACACGCTGTGGAGCGACTGGAACCTGTGGTCACACTTCCTCTGGCTGCGCCACCACACCTACGGCCACCACTCGTACACGGGCGTCTACAGGCGCGACCCCGATCTCGTGAACGGCCAGGTCTTCTTCCGCAAGCACAGCGAGAGCCCGTTCCAGGCGCAGCACACGCAGCAGTGGTGGGTCACCTACGTGCTGCTGTGGTTCTTGCCCAACCAGCACGTCGGTCAGTCGCTCCTCTACCTCCGCGCGTGGATCGTCAAGACTGTCTTCGGCGTGCCCCTCGAGCGCATTTCGGCCATCGACCTGCTGGCGAGCACGGCCATCTACGTGCCCTCGCTCTACTTCCACCTCGTGCTGCCCTTCCAGCTCCTGCCCACGAGCGCCGCGTTGACCATGATGGCCCTTTACTGGAGCGGCCAGGGCCTCGGCTACGCGCTCAACATCATTCCCAACCACGACACCTACGAGACGCACTCGCTCGTGAGCGTCCCCTCGAACGGCCTGCGCGACTGGGGCGAGCAGCAGCTGCTCGGCAGCGGCAACCACACCACCGACGGCGGCCTGTGGAGCACCATCGTGGCCACGCTCTGGGGCGGCATGAACTTCCAGATCGAGCACCACCTCTTCCCCTCCGTCTCGCATGTGCATTACCCGGCCATCTCCAAGATCGTCCGCGAGACGTGTGCCGAGTTCAACTTGCCCTACACCACCCACTCGTGGTTCCACGCCATCCGCTCCTTCGGCAAGATGCTCGTCGCCCTCTCTCTGCGCTCCTCCTACCGTCCCTCCGATGCGCCGCCGCCCAAGCAGCGCAAGCAGGACTAAGGACTAGGATCGAAAGCGGCGCAACGAGTAGCGCCAACGACCTTCTCAAGATAGGTACGCTTCATTCTCACTCACTCTACCCTTCTCTTCTTCTTCAAGCTTGCTTAGGATGACTTCTTATAAACCCAGCTCGATGACATTCATTTATGATTATACTTGTAATTCTGCTTCTCTGAACACACAAGCTACACTGTGTGTTTTAGATCTCCTTCTCCATCAGGCGTGACGCTGACGATGGTCTCTCTTGTTTGTGGCAGGCTCTCGGTGTGCATCAGGAACTGTGCTGCCGTTCACAGCTAGCGGCTCTTCGGCCGATGCCATCCTTCTTTTACACGCACATCTTCTACGACTCTTCCTCACACCATCTGCTCTTTCTTTTCTTTCTTCATGCGCTCTTCTTTCCCAGGTGTTGTAAAGTAGTGTCGCGTACACAACCGCCCATGCAGTTTTTGCCTTGTCGACAAGATTTCCTGATGAACAAGAAAAAAGAAACAAAAAGAAACAAAAAGAACAACAGAGGCGCGGGACACGTCACGCCAGAGGCGAGAGGGCAGCAGACGCAGGGATGGGTAACGAGGCCTCCACCACGGGTGGACCCAAGGTGGGCTACCACGTACTAAAGGTGCGTACTTTTGGCTCCTGAGTTGAATGCGCAAAAGCGCTTTGGCGAGTCGTGCATGCAGATAGGATCAGATTGGCTCACGGCAGGTTGGTGCCGCAGGTGGTGGCGCACTCGCCTGGGGCGCAAGCGGGGCTTACCCCTTTTTCGACTTCATCGTCGCTGCCAATGGTCAAGTATTGGTAGAGTACCCCCTAACAACGACTCACGT